TTCTTTCTTTTGCTTTGATTCTGTTTTGGGTGGTTCTGCCAAGGTTTCTCCTGTTCGTTTTCTCACTTTAAGTGTGTCATTTGGTCATATTGGTGTCTTCATTCTAATGTTTATTAAAATGTTCCTGTCACTGCCAGTCTGAGACTGTGAATCAGAACTAAGAATGTGTAATAGTTTATTTCACATTTGAGTAAATTTCTTTTACTACTTAAACACTATTATGGATAGTGTTGATTTGAGATGAAGTTTAGGTTTGGCGATACAGAATGCCACTAATTTGAGTCTTCTTTTCTTGCCATCTGCTGTGGGTGCTGCATCCACAAACATTGGTTTTTTTCTTTACAAATCTCTTTTTGTGGTGATGGAGAATAAGCTGACGCATCTGGAAAGCATCTTTTCTTGGGCCGTTCGCTGTATCAACCCGTAGCGTGTACTTTGATGCTCTCTTCCCTGAGTTGTTTTGATAAGTTGTGAGAAATCCACATTTTTACCATTGCAGCGACAGAGTACAGAGAGAACAGTATGAGCACCTACAACCACCTCCTGACAGGCAGGTGGTCTGGTGATTAAAAGCTTTGTTAAACATAAAATGAGCGATATCTATTTGTTGTGGATCTGACGGTAATTAAGAGTAATTTTTGAGGCAGTCATGGATGTCAGCCACTCTCCTTTTACTCCTCACTCAATACCTGTGTGAAGTGGGTCTAGCTTGCTGTCAAGTTGTACACTGCAATAAAGGTCACTTGTTTTTCCTCCCAGCCATGCTGCACGGCTCGAGTGAAAGCACTGCAACCATATGGATCCTGTGTGTAGAGCACAGACCAGCTCCAGAATCATTCCCAACTCCGTACTGCTTGGTACAACTCTTAGTGAGTTTAATAACGAAGCGGCTGAAGGTAGCTGCTGGGGCTGGTGGCTTGTCCTCACTGAGGTTTGCACCACCTCCCAAGTTCTAGAGATGTTAGTAACCACAAGGATACGTCATTAATTCCCAAGTAGCATGATTTAAGCAAATCTGTTTATGCAGTTGGTGTTGTAGCTACTTAAAATACTAACGTGTTTTGCCCTGTAAGCTACAGAACTCTTAAAATGGAAATCCCATAGCTGCCAAGACACTTCACATGATGATAAAGGTTTACATCTCATGCAGGTTAACAGAGAGAAAATAATGGTGGTAGAACAGAAGTCCACCATCCTTGCCTACTCAAAATCTATGGCATCTAGAAAGGGATACCAAAATGGCAACCGGTGCTCTAATGCTGCAGTGCATTTTATACACTGGAAAAAATCCTACCACTGAATGTACTTATGTAGTGACCAAGCTGTTGCCTTCAGCTCACCATTACATAAATAATGCCAAGCATCTTTTGGCTTTCATTTGTTGTGCAAACCAAGTCATTTATGAATGGCAACTGTGAGATGGCAGTTTTGTTGGCCATTCCTACAAAAGAAATTATAGAAAAGGTGTGCTAGGTAATAAGGGTAACAAAAAGATACCAAACTTAAACTAAATGCAAATGCTTTACATTATGACTCAAATACTTTTCTTCTTTTTAATTTTCACACTTCTATAAGCCACCAGTTGTCTGCAAGAAACCTCAAAACTATCTGTGATTCATCTTCAGTGGAGCTTTTATGGATATGTGAATAAGGCAAGGGGAAATCTACCCAAAAAGTCACTGTCTCCCAGTAGACCCACACATCTCATCTCTCTGGCCTCTGGTTTTGTGCAGTTCACTTGAGAGTGCGGCTGTCCGAGTTCTTACTTTGCAAGGAGTGATACCTTAAAGAATTGAAATTATAATTAAGTATTATTCAAGTTATTGGAAGGATGGACTAATCACATGAAAGTAAAATGCCTAGTAAGCCATCTTTTCCAGAAAGTATTCTTCAACAAAAGATTTTTTTTTTAATTTTTTTATGTTGACAGTGATAAATTCTCCCTTTCAGTTAATTAGCAAACTGAAATCGCTCAAGAAGTGTTACGCAAGAAGACTACCTTTTGTCAGACTATTTCCACTCCAGTTTGTAAAACAAAGGAATTATGTGCTGTACTTACTAAGTTAGTACATAAAGCACCCCCTTTGGGCGTCTAAAAAGTTTCTTTAAAAGCTGAATAATAATGAAGAGATTGAGTCTGGTGGATTTACCCCCAGCTGCAATGTGCCTGCACCGGCACTTCATTGCCCTGACTCTTTGCTCTTCATTCATCCAGACTTCCCTCTCGTTCCTGCAATTCAAATAAAACTGCTGTTTTCCTGTGGAAGGTTTTTTGCTCCTCTCTAGGTAAATCAGATGAAAGAAGAAATGGCAGGAGGTGGATGGCCCCGTGGTTGTGCGGTTGTTGGGTGTTAGGGTCGGGGCGGCAGCACGTGGAGTGTTCTCCTCACTCGTGGGAAGCGCAGCCTGAGCTCTGCAGCACAGGGCTGATGGTCAACGTGTCTTTTTTCCACCTCGGTAACTAGCTCTGTGACCCCTCTGTCTGTTGGTTTACACATATGGAAACGTTTTTCCACCTTTCAAAGGTGTGGTGGGGATTAATTGAACTTTACAAAGTGCTTTTTGATTCCCAACTGAAAACTACTGTAGGAGCTCAAAATACACTGACGAACCAGTACTGGCTGAAGATCTTTGATGAGTGTCAGGGTATTTGTCAAACATGTTATTTGATGGTGATTTCTTTTTGCTTACCCTAACTTTAGGACTAAGCCAATCTGGTGTATTCCTTATCTCTCTAGGTCTTTCTACCTCCTCCCTCCCCCTTTAGCACTCCAATCAAGTTTGGAATAAAATATCTGCTGAATAAGTAATTAAAATACTTAGTTTTCAGATGTGTCAAGTGTGCCCAGCATATTATACTGCCAGTATCAGGATATGGACAGTTTTCATTAGATGAGCATTCCAGTAAATCGACATGCTAGCTGTGGATAGGGCAAGGAAGAGGCTGCCTTCTAAAATAATTCTTCTATACCACTTGGAAACACTGTACCCTTTTTCCTAGGGAAAAACAAATGGAAGAGTGGCAATAGACCTTTCTAATTAATTGTATGGCGAGGTGGCAAATGCATTACTTGGAGCTGTTCTCTGTCTCCAGTGATTGCAATAAAAAGCGTAAGCTAAAAGTGTTTTCCTTCAGCAGTGTTAGTATTTCGGCACTGGCTTCCATTCTTTCTCACAGCTTTTAACAGAACAGGTTTAAAGTCCTATTGTTTCTGTTCCAGTGTGTTTCTCAAGTTTCCAGCTTGTACTATATCTAGATATATACAGCAGATATATTTTGCTGTAGTTCTTTGTTATAATAATATTTTCACATAAATCTCTAGCATCTTAAGAAAAAGTTAATTAATTAATTACATTTCCTTTCTATGAAAATGTTGATTCTTTGTGTATTCCCAGTTCTACATGGCTGTCTACAAATGTATTTAAGGGCTTGGACTTGGCTGACATAGCAAATGAGATGTTGCTTGGGAGCACAAATTTGAAATTAAGTGAATGTAAATTAAACTAACTACCAAGCAAAAAGCCCTAACAGTGACACCTCTAAAGCTGTGGTACCATCTTCCAAAGAAAGCAGCGGATGATTCACCATTTCAGACATTTCAATCCAATCTAGAAAGCTGTAGTAAATATATTGTAGGGAACATTCCTGCACTGGCAGGGGGGTAGACTAAATGAGCTATTACCAGTAGCTCTTTTCCACGTCTGACTGATAGTTGGCTAGGAACATGTTTAGTATAGTCGCCAATTTTTCTTCTTCTTTTTATTTTTTATTTTTTTTTCCACTTGGAGAGCACTGGTGACATTGGCAGAAGAACGCTTCCTGTGTTTGAGAAAGGTTTGTGTGGCAGGGCTGTCCCAAAAGCAGGCTATTTTCAGAGGAGACATAGACACCGATAGCCTTAATCCTTTCCGAAAGCTTTTTTGAGAAAGAGTTTCATAGGTTCTGACTCATGTGAGAGGGTGTGGTGGTATTGGAGATATATCTGTGGATTAGCTGCTACACATATTTTCTGGTTTTTAAAATTCATAGTCAAATTATACTGGATATATGCACAGTGCCATTTTTTGGTTTAGTGTATGATTCACAGGTTTTGATTTTTCTTGGAATTTTTTCTTCCCTTCCCTTATAACCACTCTCCTTCTGGGTAGAAGGAGAATTTTTACAGAATGATTATGCGAGCAAGGTAGTCAGTTCCTCTGTCTGTGTCTGCTGAAGTCTCCTATAAAAAACATCTGATGACAGTTCAAATGAGAGGGATGGTGAGTTGCGTTTAACTCAGTTTTTCTGATATGTTTATGCAAGACTTCTTCCTTTAAAAATACTCATCAGTGGCAGCAACAGCAACAGTAGTTATTGACAATTTAAATACTATATAATTTCATCCTAATCAGGGCAGCTGTCGATGATATAACAGGTAGCAGCATCCTGACAGCTGTTTTGTGCTGAGCTGGTAACAGTGAGAAAGCTGGGCTCATGCCCAGCTAGAGCTAGAGAGGTATCCAGCACCCAGGAGACTTCTCTGCTTCCCCTTGATTATGGAGGGATGTTAATACACACCTTACGGTTTCTGTCACCATCAAAGCATTGATGTGTCTCTGTCATAAGTTTCTGACAAAAATGTAATTGTCTTTCAAAACTGGAACTGTTGATTTTGATCCCCACAAAATGTAAACAAAGTTTAAAATCTGAAACTCTTTCAAAACAGGCATTATTTTTTTTTCCCCTATTAATCTGATAAAAAGGCAACGGAAAATAGATGAAAGGGCAAGGAAGCATTGAAGGGGGACAAAACTTGTGTATGGCATTATCCCCTATGGCTTATTTTTCTGTAGAGGAACAGGTTTTAATGTGCAATATATTGCAATATGCTGCTGCTCTGTGGTTCTACTAAAACTTTGCTTACAGTGAAGCTGCAAAATAAAAACCTGGCTCATTCTAAATTTTCTCTCTCTTTTTTTTTTCTTTTTTTTTCTTTATTTTTTTACCATATGATGCCCAGGGACTCCAGAAAGCCTCGCTGAGAAAGAAAGGCAGCTCATGGGTATGATCAATCAGCTGACCAGTTTGAGAGAACAGCTGCTAGCAGCTCATGATGAACAGAAGAAACTGGCTGCATCACAGATCGAGAAACAACGCCAACAAATGGAGTTGGCTAAGCAGCAACAAGAACAGGTGAGTCGTTATTATAGTGACTTTCAGCTTAAATAATATTCTCAGAGGACTTTCCAGGAGCTTATCTTTTAGGGTTGATACTTCTCAAGTTTGCTCTCTATCCAGAATTTTTTTTCCATTTGTTTTCTTTAGGTAAAGAAGTTTGAACAAAAACATATTGGAAGAATGCTTTAATTTATAATACGTAAAATAATGCTCTTTGCCTTTTAAAAATACACCTTCGAGTTTGGAGGTATTATCTTCCAATAGTGTTTTGGGGTTTTTTTTAAATAAAAGTGTAAATAAGCATACAAATTCAGCCCTCCTGGGTAATCTTCCAATGCTGCTTGAATTCAGTGATGCTGAATAGGCATAAAAGGTACAAAATGCAGCATTTGAATTGTAATAGGACAAATGAGAGGGTTAGTCTTGCCAACTGTGCAAAAAAGTGTGAGAGAAGAACATCAAGCCAGTGAATGAAGAATATCAAGGCAGTGAACAAGTGTGACTTTTTTTCTTTGACACCTGAGAGGCTTGATTTTCGGCTCCTGTAAATATGCCCTCCGCTGAAGATGCAAACATGTTTTCACATGTGAACAGTCCACTGTGTGCACATGGACACATTTTATGCAAGAACACAGCTTTTCTAACATGTTTGCACCATGCAAGGTTTAACAGAAATGAATGTCCATTTTTCTACAGGAACATGAGCAGAGAATACTTAGACATCTCATTTAAAATGTTGTCAGAGGTCCATCCTGATACCTTTTATGTGAAAGCATTTGGTCTGCCTGACCATTTATTTCAGCTTGTAATGATATTTGAGTTTATATCATAGAATTGCAGCTATGTGAATTTTATGAAACTCACAAAATTATTTGAAATCTGTCATAGTTGTCATACTTCAATGTTTGTATTGTACCAAACAAGTCTTAAGATTCTAAGCCACTGATGACATCTTCAGACATCTTAGCCTTGGTTTTCCCTACCTTTTATTATTTAAAAAGCTTATCTTAAATACTGTGTATTTTGGCCTCACACTTGAAATCCTACATAGGGTGAACAGGAGAAGTGACTTATTGAACTTAGAGAATTTGTGTCACACTGTCGTTTACATGGAGAAGGTAGATGATGGTGTGAGGGTGGAACTGGCAAGCTTCTTCCACATGGAGACATCCTGCAGGAGCTATTTCCTTTGCCCTACCTTTTAAAGTCACTACTGCTACAGGATGGCTGGATGATTTGAAAGTGAAAAAAAAATAAAAATTAAGAGAATGGGAAAAGGCAGTAAGAAATCCTGCAGGATTATTATTATTAGGATAACAAAGATTTCTTTTAATTTAATAAATTGTGTATAATTATGTGTTATAAAGATGTTAAAATAACCAAACTTTCAAAATAATCTATTGATAAAAAAATATTTTGGTTGCTTAAAGAGCGGCTTTAGAAAGAACACATTTAATCTTTCAGATGTGGAGTTAACTACGAGTGAGTGTTTATTATGCTAATAGTTCAGTAATAGAAATAAAAGAAAATACCTAAGGGGAGGAATGCGCAAAATTCCTCCCAGTAAGTGTGTATAAGTTCCCATCTGACCCTGAGATGTGTACACATACCACAGGGGAAGAGCAACATTGCTTCTAATGTTTGTACTGCTGCGCCTAGCTATTCATGAGAGCAGAGCTTTTGTGATGGCTCAAATGAAAGTTTTTTCAAGTTTACTTTTTTAAGTTTGAGGTATAAAATGGTTTATCTCCGTCCACCTTTCAAGAGCCCTAATTTGGTTACATTATGGTCTGTTTTTTTCCCTTCACTGTATATAAAATGTGTCTACAGTAAGGTTCCCAATCATTTAGTCAAAGGAGAGAGAAGATGGAAGTCCTTATAGAAAACACAGATGGCTTTGAGAGGAGACTACAACTACTCCATCAACTTCTATAAATCAGTTTCAATGTTGAGCTGTGTAGCCTTGCGCTGCCCCCTTAGTTCCTTTCAGCCAATATCCACATTGAATAGTCTGTGATTTTCCCAAACCCAGTTCTAGTCTCTTTGTGTCTGTTTCTGCATCAAGGAAATATGTGCACTAATACCTTCCACCTGGGAGTTAATTTCTTTTTTTTGGAATTTTTGAATAGGTCGTACCAAATGTAGAAATAATATTACTGTCCATCCTACTTTTTTTGCCTTTCCTGCCTTTTCCTACTATTTTCCAGCTTCTCTGCCAGTATTGTTCTTCCTCCAGCAAACTGGAGCACGAGTGCTCACTTTTTGGGGATTTTAGCAGTGCCATTTCAGATAATGAAAGAGGAGAGATTTTTGCGTCAGTCCTTCTCTTAATATCCAGTGTGGCATTTTCCATAAGGTTCCCTTTCACACAAGTATTAACTACAAATTTCTCCTGAACATGAGACCCTTGCTTCAGCAGCAGTCCAAGCTGCTGCCACCCACACTTGAAAGTTTCTTAGCTTAATAGAGCAGTTTAAAGGACCAAGCAGGGTGGAAGTTTCCTATGTACTGACTCCAGGAATGGTGATACATTTCTCACGTTTCTTCTGTGCAATTTCTTCACAGATTGCAAGACAACAGCAGCAGCTCCTGCAGCAGCAACACAAAATTAACCTTCTTCAGCAACAGATCCAGGTCAGAGATTGCGTC